TTCTCTTCTCTTCTCTTCTCTTCTCTTCTCTTCTCTTCTCTTCTCTTCTCTTCTCTTCACTTCACTTCACTTCACTTCACTTCACTTCACTTCTTTTTTATTCACTGTAATCATGGCATCATCCAGAGAGTTGTCTTATGTTCATCTCTGGCCTTATAAATGATAGGCCACTTTCTTCGTTTTGAAACTTGCAGTTTAGAATTGAGGGTCTTAATTTAAGGAGGCAGCGGTGAGCTTATAACTGTGCTATGGAATGAGGAGTCTCGTAATGCCATGTATTGAAGCAATATTCAGCATTTAATTTGGGGCGTAGTGTCTTCTGTTTGGTCAGCTTTGGAACTGAGCCCCCTCCCCCAAATAAAAGCTTAAAAGTTACAGATATGGTATTCTCACGTAATATAATGACTTGGTTGTGGATGTAGGTTGCATGCCTACTTAATTACTTATTTAACACTAGCCCGATACCCATGCTTCGCTACGAAACTATGTGGTCGGGCTTAGTTTTGGGGGAGGAAAATAAGGGCGTGGGGGGAATTCTGCCTCTGCCTACCAGCATCCATCGGCATTCATCTAGCTAGCGTCCTGTCAGTGTGTGAGAGAGTTGAGGGCTTTTTGGAAACTGAAATAGTATTTGCTGTGTGAGCATGAAGAGACAGCAAGGAGCCCGCATGTGGCTAAGCTCAACTGTTATGTAGTAAAGCTGGTTGCTGCTATGAAACTGAAACTTAAACCGACTCCTCTCCCCTGCTTGTGTTTTGCATTTGGAAGAGATTTCTTTTCAGGTGGGGAGAGGGAGTAGAACTCCTTAGCATCAGAGCGTGTTAATAATAATAATAATACACAAAATATTAATGCTCTGATGGTTATTTTGAAAAATCCTTTCTTAGCGAGCACCTAGAAGCCAAGAGGAACAACGTGCCAAATTTCAAGTTTGTAGGTTTTATGGTTGTGGAGATTTTGTGATGATGCGTGAGTGGTATTTCGTTTTTATATAGAGAGAAGATGTTCATATGCTCCTAACGTTCAGGTGAATTCCATATTGGCTCTTGGTTATTACTGATCAGTAATCCATATCAGGGAGGTGATATATTTGGTCTCAATTTGTATAGAACAGGTTTTCTTTGAGTTTAGCTTCATTCCTGATGACTACTTGGATTCATCCATGTAATGTTGGCAATAATACCGAAAAAGTCTGCTGTTGGCTTCTTCCAGGAAGTTTTTTACCAGTTCTTAATTTTTACAAATTACATTCAAGCTTAAATGTCATTCAAGTATTAAACTAAATTGATTTGAGGAGTGTAAGACAGATATTTTTCTCTCTCTCTCTTCATTTAGCTGGTCTGTGGACGGTCTTTACACTAGGAGGAGTAGGAAGCAAGAGAGCTTCGCAGCAGGAAGAGTCATCACCTCTTGCTAATCAAAGTCTGTTGTTGCTGCTCATCTTAGTAAATCTCACCGATGCTGCAGATACACCCAACCCTTATAAACAATCTGTTGTGTCCTTCAAGAACACACAAGGTATGTATCTGTTTTGAAAGTGCCAACTTCCTGTGAAAATTTTCTGGGAAATAACACCTGTCTCTTGATTTTCATCAATTTGAGCTAAACAACAGCTGGGTTAAAGCAGGGGTGTCAAACCTGAGGCTTGGTGGCCAGACACGGCCGGAAGGGGTGCTTAGATCTGGTCCACGGGGCCACCCTGAAAACAGCAAAGGACCAATCTGTGATGCTTCTGCCAATGAAAATGGAGCTCGGGAAGGCTGCATGCCCCCCCCAACCTCTGTTTTCGCTGCCGGAAGCCATCGCAGCTGAAAACGGAGCTTGGGAGCCCCTTTTTGCCGGCAGAGCACTCGGGCCACCAAAGGTGCCCTCGCACGAGTGACATCGAGTTGGCCACACCCACCCTGCCCCGCCGAGGTCAGACACAACCCTGACAAGGCCCTCAGTGAAATTGTGTTTGACACCCCTGGATTAAAGGAAAGCATCATAAGTAAGAGGTCTGTTCTGACTCCTCCACTGAGCTACACTTTTTGGTTGGTTGTATGTAAAAAAAAATGTGATCTGTCCACTCTGGATGAGTTGCACCGCCTCTTATATCTGGGCAAGATCTGAATCTCCATCAACGGAGGCTCTAGTTGCCTCCATAGCTATGAGTTTCACTTGGCAGCTATGAGTATTTCTATAGTCTGGACACAGCAATTCATACATTGGTGACCTGGAATTGGGCTATACTGCCATGTGCAGAGCTATCTCTGATGCGGGAGCTGCAGTTATCAAAGAATGCCGTGGCTATTACAGGACAAGGTAGCACACCAAGAATTCGCAGCATTCATTCAAGGGAACTGTGTTTGCGTGGTGCGGTGGCCTGGAGGTAGGGCTCTCGCCTCACAATCAGGAGGCTGTGAGTTCGATCCTAGGTAGAGGCAGATATTTCTCTCTCTGGGCACAAAGAGAATGTATCAGCTGAACAAAAATCTGCATCTGCAACAGGAAGGGCATCCGGCCAGTAAACACTCAGCTCCATTCAGTCACCACCCCGCAAGGAATTATGGGGTCATTAAAATATGATTATGATTCGAAGGAACTGGGTTTCCTGCTTATACGTAATGGAGGAAAATCCAAGATGCTTGTAATTGACACCACTACCTAGTGTGGTTTTTCCCCTAAGCATCTGATAGACAGCAGTTAAGAAGAAGGGGATACAGTCTAAAAATATCACATCTGCAAGTTATTCACTATGTGTCAACCCCAGAGGAAGTTTTCAGTGCAGATGTCACTGTCCAGTCACTTTTGCACAAAGTCCCTGAGCATCAATTCTAGGCCTATTTATGGTTGCCATGGTTTTGTATGACGGTTCTAATAGATGTAAATTTGAGGGGTCCTTGGTGCTCTCTGAGCTTGGTTGTTTGCTTGCAGATGTTTCATTGAAACTCAAAGCAAGTAACATCATCAGTTAGTCTGGTGGTAGTCTACCACTGATGTCTGTGAAGTTTCTCCGTTGTCCAGGCCATGGTTGTCCCAAAGGTGCTTTTGCAAGGGACAACTGGACTTTCTTGTTTTTTTTTCTTTGAAGAGGTTTCGCTTGTCATCCAAGAAGCTTCTTCAGCTTCTACAACTGTCTTCAGATGAAAAGCAGAAAGTGGGCCGGTCCTTTGCTGTTTCCATGGCAGCCCCGCAGGCCAGATCTAAGCACCCTATGGGCTGGATCCAGCCCCTGGGCCTTGAGCTTGACACCCTTGTTTTGGTTCTCACCAAAACCCTTGTCCAATAAACACGAAGCAAAGGGAACAGAAACCTTTTAATGATTCTTACAAATCCCAGGTTAAAAGGCTGCTGCAAACTAATTAACTTTGATAAGCACGAGCCTCGCCAAAACTATGCGAGGCTGCCAAGAATAACAGATATTTACCTAGAAATATTTCACAACACAAGAGTCTTCGAATACCAACTAAGATACTGCAATGTCCGTGAGGCTGGAGTTTCAAAACGTCTTTGCTTCCTGCAAAGAACATTCGCTTCACAGCTGGCTTTTATCTTCTTGAAGGAGGGGCCATTACCTTGCAGCCTTATTCCTGAGTCACCTGTGCTGCTGCAGGTGCTCTTGCCTGCACTTGGCACAGGCTCCTCGGGAACCTCCGCATCGCTGCTGCCAGCCCCCACAATCTCTGAAGGCAGCAGTCCACTCCCTAATGATCCTGGCCCCTCATCTGAGTCCTCGCTCTCCTCAGCTGTCCACACCTGCTGCCGGCTAACCAAAACAGTTTTAGAGCAACTCTCACTGACGTATGTGAACATGACTTATCTTGGGCCAATGGCCAAAGGTCCATTTTAAGTTTCACGGTGTTCAAACTTAAACCTTGCTCGTAAGGTGAATGACGAGTGAACATATGTTTAGGAAGAGTTGGTGGTTTGGAAAAGACGTCTTCCTAGGTTCATTTTCCCCATAAATTCCTTTCCCTTTTTAATTTTTTTCTCTCTATCTGGATATCAAGATAGGAATTTAGCTCTGCCTGGTAGGAAATGGTTGAGCAGGAGGCAGTTTTCAGAGGCGACTCATTTGTTGCAGGAACAATTCCTCCCACCAAATTTATTTCTCCTATCAGTGCTCTCTCTATCTGTGTGCGTATTTTAGTTTCGCATCTAAGGGAGTTGAGAATACATCCTTGCAGAGAGATAACACATGTTCCCTCCTGGCCTGAAACAGTCCATTGGCCTTTCTATTACAAGCTGCCTTTTCCAGTTGGATCAGCTGTTCCAGCTAATCAGCACTATCAGTTCTATTCCTTGATAGCCTTTAATCAGACCTAACTGAAACTGGGCAGTCCTGCTTCTTGTAAAACTTCACTGGAAGATTCACAGTTCTTGGCCATTTAGAAGATTATAGGATAGTTCAATGAAAACAGATTAGATTCTGCATTTTAAATCACTCTTCCATCTGTTGACGTAAGGTGATTTGTAATCATATCAGTCCCTCTTATGAATGCAGAGCCAATAAATAAAAAATGACTCCCTAAGCCCTACGATGATGGACGGAGCCTCTGGAAAGCGCAAGGCCGAAGCCTTTGGGGTTGCAGTTTGAAGGCTACTGAGTCACATCATGAAGGTTAACTTTGTTCAGTTGGGACCAGATGGGAAGAAAAGTCAAAAAAAAAATCAGTCAAACAGATTGCATGTTGTTTGTTTTCCTTCCAGATAGCACAGCTTTGTCTTCACCAACTCCTCATGCTTTCCAGATCAATTTTAATAGTTTGTACACCACATTATGTGAGCAGCAGAATTCTGACCATGCCACGCTCCTCTTGTATACCCTTCTGCACCAGAACAGCAATGTTCGAACATATATGTTGGCCCGGACAGATATGGAAAACCTGGTAAGTATTTTGTTCTGTGCGTAACTAATCCAAAACAAAAATGTAACAGGATGGAAGTCTCCCTTGTGAACTGGTGGTTTCTGAATTGCTGAGAGAACTAGACACTAGAGAGAAGTTGCTTCTCTAAACGTGTGAATGAAGTAATTGTAGGTATTCTAACAGTGGCAGCTGATGGATTTTAGGGTAGGTGGGGATTTTAGAGAATGCTGGGTAAGGAGTTGGGTTATGACTAGGGGGAATCAAGACTCTGGTCCCTTCTCAGCCATCAAATCTCATTTGGTGTCTTTAGGCCACCCATTTCACAGATTAGGATTAGATTATATGGTTTCATGAATGGAGATCGCAGTGTAAGCCACCTTGAGCTCTTGAAAGAAATAGGGAATATGTATCTAGCAGATAACTCTTTCTATACCTGTAACCAGCATTGATTCTGGCCGGTTCAGGGTTGACTCAGTCTTCCATCCTTCTGAGGTGGGTAAAATGAGGACCCAGATTGTTGGAGGCAATTGTTGTGGTCCACTGGCAGCCTGCGGAGATGGCAGCAGAGTCGGACAGTGGGGAGGAACATGGACCAGTCCTGGAGTCTGGAGAGGACTCAGATGAGGGTCCTGCATCCAATACAGAGATGGGGCCAGGGCCATCTGAGAGTTATATGCCGACTCCAGAGCCTCCAGAATCTGACAGCAGCGAGGCAGAGGAACAAGGGGAGCCTGTTCCCAGTACGCGCATGCACAGAGCTGCCAGAAAACAAGAACAGTTAAGACAAAAGGGGCAACTCGGGAGTAATGCTTGGAGGTGATTGGCCCTCCCATAAGAAATAAAGGAGGAGCAAAGGGATGTGAACCTTTGCCGGAAGCAACTTTGTTCGTACTGGTCGGTTTGAAACCTGAAGCTTGGTGTTGAATTTGTGCTCTGTTTGGCCTTGTATAACTAATTGAAAATTTAGTCGTTGGCAGCATTTCAAGGAAGATAAAGGTGTGTGTTTATCAGACTTATCCTTCAGGATAATTGGCCAAAAGTCACCCAGCTGTCTTTCATGCCTAAGACTAGAATTCCCAGTCACCTGGTTTCTATCCTGGTGTGTTAACCACTAGACAAAGTTTTTAGATAAAATCAGGAGAATATTAAAACCTGGATTTTTTTTTGTCTCAATCATCCTAATATGAATTTGCACTTATCTCTATTTTTTTCCCTTTTTGAGGTTCTGCCAATTCTTGAGATTCTTTATCATGTTGAAGAAAGGAATTCACATCACGTTTATATGGCACTGATAATTTTGTTAATCCTTACTGAAGATGATGGCTTCAATCAATCCATTCATGAAGTGGTAAGTTATATATATATTCAGAAGGCAGGCATGATTAATTGAACACAAAATAATGAGCAAATGTCTTTCTTAACGAAGAGGAATGTAAAATTTTATGCATGAGTTGGATGTCTATTTTCTCAATAGAGCTTTTTTTAACGGGTTCTCATTTACTTTTCTTCTTGCAGCTTTTATTCCAAATACTTTTCGGGTGTACTCATTACTTTTAAACAGCATTAATTAAAAACACATTGAAAGAAAAGAATTTTTGCAAGCCTTTTGCAAAAAGCTTTTTGCTTTTTGCAGTCAACGCTTCGTTGTGACTACAGTTGCAAAAGCAACAATACAAAGTTGATTGTTCCACTGAAAAAATTAGTCATGACCAGCTTACATTATTTTGATTTCAAAGGCAACTTTACATCACTTACGAAATGCAAGACTGATGGGTTATATTTGAAAACCTTGTTGAGGTGGAATTAGAGAGCGCTATTCCTCTCTTTATGTGTCATATTGTATTTTATTTTGAAATAAAACTGGAAAATGTAGAGAGCTAAGAATACCATCCAAGTAATAGTATAAGAAGATTGCTAAGGGGGGGGGAAACCAAAAATTAATAGCACTAATCCAGAGCAATTAAAAAAAATCTTACTGATTATAAAAACACTGGATTAATGGAACTAATATCATAGTCCTTCTATAGAGAGCCATGCTGGCTCAATGGTTAGAATCAGCGTTGCAGGCTAATTCTGCCAACTGCCCGGAGTTCGATCCTGATCGGCTCAAGGTTGACTCAGCCTTCCATCTTTCTGAAGCTGGTACAACGAGAACCCATATTGTTGGAGGACAATAGGCTGACTCTGTAAACCGCTTAGAGATGGCTGTAAAGCACTATAAAGTGGTATATAACTCTTAAGTGCCACTGCTATATTCTAGCCGTGTATTCTGCTCTTATTGTTTAACTAGACAACCTGTGACCTCTTGGGTCATTGATTCAGAAATATTTCCTTATTTAAGCAGAGAAACGGAATGACCACAGGCAGGCAAAAAAACAGTGAGAGTGGCCTTCGACTTCCTGAAGGCTTCCCCATGGAATTTCCTGGTAGGAAGCTGGCAGGGAGCATTGGACATGATGATCACATGAATGACCACAGTGGTGTATAAGCACTGAAAGCAGCCACTGCTTTGCCACCTTTCAATCCTCTGGGAGTCAGAGCACCTGGATTTTGGATGCAATTTGTAAATTGGCCAATCTGAGGTTCATTGGTTCCGAAATGATCACCCAGCAATGCAGCATTTTGTCCCATTGAAGCTTACAAATAATCCACCAGACATGAGAATTTATAGATGGAATAATTGAACAGACAACTGGATTGTCTGTTAACATTTTGTTAGGTGCTTTTCGTAGTGGGAATGAATAGAAAATGACCAGATGTTTCAATATCGTACCTGTTTTAAAGGGGAAAAAAATAAATAAACATTATGCAGATGAGCGGAACTACAGCATATTGGGATGAAATTTGGTATATGTCTCTAAGCTCCTTTTGTTTTTGTTTTTTAAATTCCTTTTTTTGGAAAGACTAGCAATGAGCGAAGGTTCTCCAGAAACTGCTCTGTTTATTTTAAGCACCTTTGGATGGAATCAGCTTTTGTCCTATGGTCAAAAAGAGGAAAAATAAAAAAGCAATCCATTATTCAGGCTGTATTTTCCATTCTCCTTTTTGTTGCCTTGAATGTATTTTCCTCTGGTGGGTTTCACAACCCCCCATTTATTGATTGAGAGCTTAGATAAATTTTGGTAGGTACCATTTCACGAATCACTGATTATGGGTGATGCTCGACTTAAACCACAGCTGAGCTCAAAATTTCCATTGCTAAGCAAGACGGTCGTTAAGTAAGCTTTGCCCCTTTTTATGCCCTTCCCTGCCACAGCTGGTAGGTGAATCTTTGCAGTTGTTAAGTTAGTAACACGGTTGTTAAGTGAATCCTGCTTCCCCATTGATTTGGCTGGTCAGAAGGTCCCAAAAGGTGATTATGGGACACTGCACATCATAAGTAGAAGCCAGTTGACAAGCATCTGAATTTGGGGCTTATTTTTGGGGAAGGGCTGATATTACAAGCCTCCTGAAAAATGCTAGGTCTTATTTTCCAGCTAGGTCTTATTTTCCAGCTGGGTCTTATTTTCAGGGAAACACACAAATATAATTATCCTACCTTCCATAGTATTATCAACTCTTCCTCCTTTGCTTACCTTTTCAGAATCATTTTAACTAAGCTGAAAAGCAAATGCTACATCTTTCCCTCCTCAAATCTTTTAAGGGAAGACATTGTCACAGACATGGTGTGTGAGCAGAGGCTAGCTCATCGTGCGCTGGTGATTCATTAGTCTAGCGTCTGGCGCTCTTGAAAAGAGTGAGAACAGCACATTTCTGATGTTCATCTGTTAAGCAGCAACACACAGTCAGCATGGATTAACAAGAGTTGGTCAAATGTTTAGTTAAACACACATTAAGAGTTTTAACTGTTGAGGTTTATCCTCTCTTGCTCAATGAACGTAAAATCTGTTGGTGAATTACAGCCTGATGGTAAATTAAAGCAAGCCATGCCAGAAGAGTGAACTGGCTTTTCTTTTACGGTAACTTTCCTGTAATTCTTGCACGTAAAGCAAATATGTGCTGGTTAATATATTCGGAGCTGTTTATTATCATGGTGCCTTTTTGAAATTAACCGGCGTCTCTTGGGACGAGCAAGGATTGGTGGAGGCTAGAAGGAAGGGGGGCAGACGGCAGAAAAATTGAAGCCGTTGTCCCCCAAACTGGGCTTCATTTGGTGTCAAAGCCGATGAGTCACCAAACACAAGGTGTGATACAAAATTATACCATTTTATTTTAGTACCAAGATATAAGGGCCTGGTTTTGAAAGCTTCCAAGGCCCTGATTACAATCTTACGGCAATTCTTATAGTCAAAGGGTGATCCCATATACCCCTTTGCCCTTCCCCTAATAGTGCATGCATAACAGGTACTATTGATTGGTTATCTGGATTACAGCCCTCCAAAACCTTTACGCTTGCTATGCTAAATAGTTAAAAGTCGCATCATCTCTTATTCACCTCAGGTCATGGGTATCTTGCAAAGTGTTGTAGTTCCATGTGCCAGCTATGTGGTTTTGGGTTTTTTTTTTCTTCTTATAAGCAAGCAATTCTTGTGTCTAATATCCTGGCCAGTGGTTTTCTGAAGTTGCTAGCTACGACTGTGCAGCCGCTGCTACTCTGTACTTTTGCAGAGAAGAATAAAATCAGTTTTAATTCTTTGTCTTAAGGCAACCCCACCCCCACTCCTCTTCTCCTCCCACCTCCTACCCATGCAGCGGGGAATAAAAGCTGTTTAAGTCTTTGTCTCAAGGCAGAGAAACGAAGACAAGAGAAAATGTTTCTTTTCAGAATCCATATTCCTCACTCTCACCTCCATTCCATCCACACACCTGGGTCCTATCTCCACCTGTGGCCCTTCCTCTGATCCCCAGAGCCTCATCTGTACATCCTTTCTATCACCTGATCCTTCAGAACCCCACAGAAAGGTGCCTGAGATCCAAGTAGGTATGGTAGATTCCAAGAGGTTGCAAGTAGTCCCGGCAGAAACGAGCAAATTGTCAATTCCAAGCTTGGCAGGACAGTGAGCGGAGGAAAAGAAGCACGTGTGAAATGGATCACAAATGGTTTAGAGCAGGGGTCTCCAACCTTGGCCACTTTACGACTGGTGGACTTCCAACTCCCAGAATTCCTCAGCCAGAGCATGCTGGCTGAAGAATTCTGGGAGTTGAAGTCCACTAGTCGTAAAGTTGCCAAGGTTGGAGACCCCTGGTTTTTTTCCAAAAGGCAACTTGGTTGTTGTTGTTGTTGTTTTAATTACTTTGAAGACATTTCACTTCTTACCCAAGAAGCTTCTTCAGTTCTAACTGACTGATGAGGAATGGCCATTGTCTTCTTAAAGGGCTGCTGACTTAAATGGCCAGTGACTGGCCATTCTATTGAGCTCTTCTAGGCAAAGACCACAGACCTCATATATTGCTGTGGTTGGACGATCTGTGCCAAAAGATTCGGACGTAGTGAATGTCTTCCTTCTGGTCCTTTTTAAACTTCCTTGATGACATTTGATATCATAGATAATAGTTTTATTTTGGGACACCTACAAGAGTTAGAATTTCAGAGCCAAGGGTTGCTATAGTTCCAGCCCATCCTGAGTGAGTCTGGTTGACAATAGGGAAAGAGAGGCTGATCTGTTTTTTTGCTCCTAGGGGTAAAATTTCTCTGTCTCTCTCCTTCCCTCTCTCTCTCTCTTTCCCTCCCTCCCCCACTTTCCTCCTTCCTTCCTCCCTCCCTCCCTCTCTCCCTCCCTCCCTCCCTATACTTCTCCCTCTTTCTCCCCCTCTCCCTCTATCTCCTGCTCTCTTTCCCTCCTGC